TCGCTGCTGTCGGAACCTTGTATCTCCAAAATGGTAACTTTACAGGAGAAGGAAAAAACATACTTGACTTTTAATGTAAGTCAATGGAACCAGACTTTTTTCCAAGTCATTCTGGGCCGTTTCTATTGGTCCATTCATCATGAAACTTACACATAACATAAAGGGCAAAGGTATTTTCAAATAATGTCAAAAACTGAAAAATGACAAAAATGGAGATACAATGTTTTGTTCTGACAACAGCGCATATGCTGCATTTTGGATACTGGTATGCTGGTCAACCAGCAAGACCACGCTGGGTGGCCAGCTAAACCAGCACCAAACCAGCACTAGACCAGTATAAACCAGCTAAAACCACCCTGGAATTCATGCTGGTCTAGACTACTTTCTTCCTCTTTAAAATGGTGAAGACAAACTAAAGCCCAAGACTAAAGGATCACCTCTGCACTCATGACTAGAGATAGATGCACCAATAAAATAAAGAAATGGACAGACAAACTGGACAAACAGGTGAACATAAAGCGTCGGTTCCCTGGACACACACTGCCTTCTCCACTGAGAGCCTGAGAGCGGCTCCATCTGAATCTGGGAAAGCAGCCCAAAAAGTGTGGAGCAGCTGTCGGCCACTTAATCCTGACCTCATATGTTAGCAAACAAGAATCAAACCCACACCAAATACTAGGGAATTTGCTTTGATGACGAAATCAAACAGTGCCTGAGTGACCAAAAATTACACAAGTTCTACGAAGCTTTGAGCCTGGCGTCCAAAACAAACTCGACGCCTGCGTAACAACTGGGTTAACAGCGCACACAGACACGTGAAACCACATCTGCAGCTGATGTCAAATTGACTTGCAGGATTTAGACCTCTTCGAAACAGCCGAACGTTAGCCAAACATGACTGGAACATGGCTGGGTGAGGAGAGCCAATACCAACTCTTAGAAACGGTGCATACAGCAGAGTTCATGTTTTATGTCTGTGCAAGCCTGACACAGATCTTACTGCAAAAACGGTAAAAAAATTAAATACAAATAAATTTAGTCAACATAGGAAGTGAAGGTTTGGCAAAAGATCTAATTTACACAATTTAACAGTGTAGCTGTTCAGCCAAGGTGTGTTTGGTGTTTGAAATTTCTTTCTTTAGTTTTACACAGGAGCTGCGAGGCTAATGTAGTTAATAGGGACGCATGATAACATTGAAATCATATCAGTATTGGCAGATAGCTATTATCTATAAATGCTAACCCAGGCAGATTTTTGCTATGTATTTTAAATGTTTATGTATCAGAAAATCGGGTAACGCTTCACTATAGGGCAGCATTCATAAGGCTACATGACGCCTACACTATTATAATAATAAAATCGTCATAAAGCAGTGTCAGTAATAAAATCTTCTGACATGCAGTCGAATGCAAAAGTTTGGGCGCCCCAGTCAAATGATGTCTTGCTGATTTTCTAATACATCCTCCAGAGAGCACACTTACACACATTTTAAAGCCCAATTACTGCTTACTTGATGACTTTATCCATTTTTTTTGGAAACAATAAAGCATGGAATGTGGCAAAAGTTATAACACATTTTATACATCATGTTTTATTTTTTCCAATATGTTAAACAGAGCAAATAATTAGAAATAGTGCACTAAAATTTGCAGAAAATGTCATATTTAACTGTGTTCTCCATAGAGGACGTGTTCAATTATTTTCACAATCAACAAAACATCATTTGACTGGGGGTGTCCAAACGTTTACTTACTTTTACTGTCAACTTCACATCAAAGTTGAGAAAATTTGAGAAAAACGAGAGATAATGCCTACTGGCTTTATAAAAGCTTATGTGGGTTTAAATTTACTGACATGACGAGCGCACGTTGGTGTTATGTAAAGAAGCAAACTTCAGGCACGAAACACGGCTGATCGACTACATTTAAGTATGCAATTGTGTAAATAAAGTTCCTGGTCAGTCCGTCGCTTCAGTGATCGTTACGTGTCTATGTGCACTGTGAGGCTGGCTGTTATGAATGGACTGGGGCTGAATGAGGCTGGGACTCGGCCCTGGACAGGAGCTGAAGAGGTGCATGTTCCCAAGAGGACCCACAGGATATCTACCTCACTGACCTCTGCCTGATTAGTTTTCTTTGTGAAACCACCTCCCCACCCCAAACACACACACACACACACACACACACACTCAATTGTTCTTCATGTCTCTCACGTAATCTGTCACAGATGCTCCACAATGAGTTAATCTGTAATGATGTCATTAGTTAATCTGCAACCTGTTATTACTCTGTTCTCTGAACCACTATACTGTCTCACTGTTCTTTTATACTCAGAAGAGAGGCCCCTGGAAATGGAAGCAAATGTGCTTAGAAAATTACAGCAATAATATCATTAGTCATACTGACACTGCACAGAAAAGTGCTGAAGAATCTGGCAGGAATTTTCACACTAAATAAGCCAAAATACATCTAAACAAGCTAATATCTGCACGTTTTTGGCCAACATCATGACAAATCAACAAGATTCTCTCAAAGGTAGCAGAAACTTTGAGCTATATCTCTTTGCAGTACATAAATCAGCCCATACGGAAAAATACAATGGCATTTTTCAAATCTTATGCACTTATACTACATTTTTATGCTGATTCCAGTGTCATTTTTTTTTTTTAAACTAAATAGGCTGATAGTCAAATTTTTTGCCTAGCATTAGCACATTTCCTGTACTTCCTATTATTGAAAATTTCATTATAAATAACATTACACATTAGTTCCACTGGCACAATCTGATTTGTTGAGAAGTGTTCAGTCAGACACGTTCACAGTGATTATCGTTTCACTGAGCACCAGTTACTATATAACAACTTGCTTTATGCTGCAGCTCAGCATTCCTAATTGTCTACTTTAGAGCACACAAAAACAGAAAACTGTCCGATATTTTCTATTAGATCATATTTGATCTGCAGCCTGTTTCTGAAGAAAATAGTGACCACAGGCCTACGTCAGATTCCGAACTTGTCGTTGAACCTAAGCAACCTTTGCGGTCAGCAGCTGTGACAGAACAATTAAACAAACTGAAATTAGCCAGAAACAATTCAGTAAAATGTTTTAGATACTAACCGGAGCAAAAACGACATTCAGGTTAATCTGGTAAATACTGAAAACCCTGAGCTGGACCTGATATTGTTTTAAGCCTCTGTCCATAAGGCAAAGGGGTACTACTCTTTGGTGGAATGAATTGCCAATATTAACGCACGTTTAATGTTTGGGGTTTCTGTGCTTTACTTTTTTCTTTATTTGGCAGAACTGTTCTATACAAGCAACAGAACACGTTTCAGGTGCAGCAGCGGCATTCGAATAAGCCAGAGTGCACAAAAAAAAAAACAATATAATAAATTGGCTAATAATGCCGTAATATTTTTGGCCATATACTTTTAAATATATTTCTCCAGTATGAGTTTCATGAGGTTGAGCAAGATATACCAAATGGAATATCAGGAGAACCCGCTCATGTTCCCTCTAGAAGACTCTAGCCTTCTAGGCCAGCTAGCTTTTCTGGAAGTATCTCAAGCGGAAGCAGCTGGTTCTTCCTTCTGTCCATCAGACCAGCTTCTCAAAGTCAGTTAATCAGCCTGTGACAGAGGAGACCACACCTCAGGGATTCACCAAGACCCTCTCAGAAGAACCTGCTCGGAAACACGTGGAACAAAAGGCCTTTGTGGACCCTGTATGAGCACGAGGGAGATGGGCAAAGCCCTTCACCTGGCCCAGTTTTCACTCATATCAGTCACACTGAACACTACCTGGGCCTGACAAGCCAGCAGGGCCTGTTTTAGTGTAGCTGCCTGCCATGATTGAGTGGCAGACGAGGAAAGAAGCCTTTTGGAGGGTCCAAGCAAAGGGCCAGATCACCCTGGCTGTGTGGGTAATTGTTAACACATTTCTCAAGTTTAAACTTTGAGCTAAATATTTTACCTGGACGGCGTCTGTACAGCTGTAGAAGTCATCAGTCTTATTTCATGAGTGATGGGAAATTGCACAAAGAAAAATCTCATGCAACAGCTTTTTTACCGTCTCACTCCCTCTCTTCAAAGCAAATCCTTGAGAGAGAGAAATACTCATTTCTCATTCTGGTCCAAGCCTAGACGCAGCATCTTGAGCAAATAAACTCGAGGGCTGTATTTTTATTGTAAAATAAAAGCAGTCAATAAAGCTATCAAAGGAATAGTAAACTTTGTCAGTGCATGCATTTTAGTTATCACGATTGTAAAAAATAAAATAAAGAGAGAAAAGATAAAAAGATTACCAGGGTTTATGAGACCTAAGAATCATTTTCTGAACAACAGGTCACCAAAAGAGGAATGTTTTGCAACTGGATTCATTTCACACACTGAAGCTGCAGATAGGAACTGATACGTGATGTGGAAGCAGGTGTGACAAAGGCCCCTCTGTCAGAGTGCAGCAGTGTGGAAACACCAGGACTTCAGGTAAACAGGTTTAAATCAGTGGACTCCACAACAACGGCATTCAAGATTATGCAATAAACGTCAGAGCTTTATTCCTCGACTCTAACACAGCTATTATTTTTTTTTTCAGCAATAACATGCACCTTTCACTGTGTAAGCAAGAAAACCCAATTCCTGCACACCCCTTCCCAGACCTAGGATCAACTGCTTTTATTCTTGCCTTTGTCACTAGTGCCCCCTTGTGGCAAAATCTGTAATCCACCACCTCTGAGACCACCACTTGAGCACCTGGCAAATATGAGAATATAACCAATAAAAGCCAAGAGGTGTCATATGAGTCGTGAGGAGTCTATGGTTGCATCCAAATACTTACAAAGAACTTTCCTTCCTGTCTGCTTTCCTTGCTTTTGCCTGAATTGTAGCTATGGCCTCACTAAATGAGCCGACTGAGATGTGGATCCACAGGGCAACAACACCAGGCAAAATCAAGGAAAGCAAGTTTTAGTCAACTGTTTAGACGCAGTCTATGACTCTTACCTATAGTGGTTCCATCCTCTCCCATAATGCACTTCATAGAAGTGATAATTTGCTCCACCACTGGAGGTGACATGGAAGTGGCGTACACCGCACTGTGAGAATGAGAGCGCAGGTAGTCTATCAACTCCTACAGGGAAACAAACAATAAGAAACATAAGGAACAATTATTCCCATCTGAAATTGATAAGAATTTCACTGCACAGTGATTCATAAACAAAAAACAACAAAAATAAACAACAAAAAAAATCTTGCTTTTCTCAGCAATAGAAGCAATAGTTCAGTAAAAAAAATCAAACTCAATAACTTTCAATTTATCCAAAATGCAGTCAATCAGCCAAGATATGTTTATTTCTTTAGTTTTGGAGTGGAGCTACAAGACCCACTAACAAGCTAACAAGCCATCTAACAAGCAGTAGAAAATTAATACCCCACCAATTAGCACTGTGACAGAGTCATCTACTACAGCAGACTAGGGCTGTTACAATCATTAAATTTTAGCTGATTAATTCAATAACTGTGATTAACGACCAAATGAGCGTCTTGCTTCCTAGCTATGTTTACTCAAACACATGCTTACAAGTAGACAAAATCATGTGCAGAGTCAAGCAAATCTACCAAAAAGTTTTCCTTGAGAGTGAAAAAAAAATAAAATAAAAAAAAATCATTCTTCTACCATTACTTACATAGCTAATTAGACAAACATTACTATTGTTGCGCTGTAAATGTTAGAGCGCTAACTTAAAAACTGTTTTCATGAGTCCCGTCATGTGTCTCGAATGCTTCTGTGTTTTATAATGGACACCTGCCTCAACCCAACGCACTCAATTCACACTTTGCTTGATGCAGAACGATGTGATTGTGAAATCTAACGACTGTGGGAAATGACTGCAGTCAAAGTAAATAACTGATCATCTCAAATAATTGTTAACCTTTGTGTGGTGTTGGTGTCTTTGTTACTCAGTGATCTGGTGGACCCACCGCATTCAATATAGCCATAATAGTTTATGTAAAAACACTCGATGTTTAAAATATCACAAGTGTAGAGTTCTCCTTTAGCATCTATAGCTAGTCAGCAACCTGTCCATGTTGTCCACCCTCACACACACTCTCACACACACACACACACACAGACAGATACAGAGACAGACACACACCTACAGACACACTAACAGCAGGCCATGCAAAAGGAAAACAGAGTGAAGGACACAGCACCTCAACACTTTTATTCTCTGCAGGTTCACCCAACACCACATGGGTAATATAAATGTGTGGGGGTGAACAGCGCAAAGTTAAAATGAGTTATTTTATATGTTCATCACAGAAAATGAGCAAAGGAATCAGAGGTTGAAATAATAATAAATGGCATCATTTTCTCTTTTGGGAAACATGGAAAACGGGTCCCACAGGCCTGAACACAACACAAGTTATGAAAAGGCTTACGATGGAGAAGTATGGACAAAATTCAAGCTCAAAATGGCTCCTACTACTGTTTTAGCTACGCAATGTACTGAATAAGCCAAAGGTGTCAAACTGGGTTCCCTACAGGCCACAGCTCTTCAACACTGTTCAACACTGTGACCCATTAAACACACCTGATGAACTCATCAGCAATACTTTTACAGGTTGAATTCAGAGTGTTAGAAGAAGGAAAACCCTCATCTCTTCAGAACTGTGACCTCTTCAGAGTTGACAGCCCAGTTTAAACAGTGTCAGAAACATAAGCAAGTGTACTTGAGATTACATAATTACTCAATACAGTGTGAGGCATTCAATTAATATAGGTAAGCAGTATGCTATTTGGTGGGGTATATGCTGTCATTATTTTAATTAGCCTTACAGTAAAAGTAAAGCAAACTTTGCACACCAAACATCTCTTGGCTGGTCGATCATAATTATGGTAAAAGGAAATTGTATAAATTTCATTTTCCCCTCAACTCCTGCTTTATATTCTAAGATATAACTGTGTTGTTATAGTACAACTAATAAAACACAGCAGTGGGTTCCACACCTTCTTCCCTCCAATGTAACCCCCAGCTGCTCCAAAGCTCTTAGTGAAAGTGCCCATCATGATGTCCACATCTGTGGGGTCCAGGCCGAAGTACTCCACCACTCCTCGACCGCTGCCCCCCAAGAGCGCCGATACTGTGGGCTTCGTCCAGGTACAGGTAGGCCTTGTACTTCTTCTTCAGGGCTATGACTTCAGGCAGGCGGATGATGGAGCCCTCCATGCTGAGGAAAGAAAGGATTACTCAGACGGGTGTACATTTCTCTTTATAGTTCACAGTTCTATTTAATTCAGAGCTCCACTTTACAACAAGACCATCCTTATAAAGAGTTTATGAATGGTTTAAATTTAGGTTATTAAGTAGCCCATAAACACCTTATAAAACATTAACAAGCAGTTATACCATATAAATTAAAAGGGCAGCAGTGACCTGTTATGCCTGATGAATCTGACAGTTATGCTGCAGACTAGGGCTGCATTTTAACTGCTATCGCGATTTGGGCTTTGACATTAGAGGTATATTGAGTGCTTCTCTGCTCTGCCACATGGACAGCTCAAAACCTCCATCTTTAACTACACGCTTGTAAAAACGCATTAAACATTAGGATTGTTCTCACACCCAGTATTGTGTTTTGAGTATAGTAATGGCTACTGTCACAATACCTAAACACAAAAACACTAAAATATTTATACATCCTTATGTGCCTACATAAAACAGAAATATATATTTCTTTGTTTTGTAGCAATTACAGAAAAATCTGTTGAGATAATACAGACTGTTTTCAGACTTTCAGTGCACAGAAATGTGCTTGAAGTTCTGATGTCAGTAGCTGTTAGTATTTCTTTTCTTTTCATTACGCACAATAAAACTTTTGTAATTCTGTACTTTGCCATTTGCTGTACAGATACTTTCAATCATTAAACTCATTAAATCTCAAATGAAATCATTAAAACTCAAATTTCATCACAATTTAAACCAATAATTTCGGTATGATTCCGAATTCTTTTACAAAAATACTCTGAACACATAACATATGATTAGAGAAACTAACTAATAACAGTACAACAGACGTTTTTTTGTTCTTTCTCTTTAAACCCAGTTTTTCCCCAAACTGCCAATTCCTTCCCACTTCCTAGGTCTCCTAATCAGGTGCTACAGCATGTGTGAGAATTTAAGGTGAAAACAGAGTTTTGTTAGAAGCACATTTGATTAATTCTAGTGGCAGAGCGCAACAAAAGAACAGGTGCAAATCAACACTATGGAACTTGCACTGTGGTCCAATTACAGAGTACGAGGCGAGGACTCACCTGTAGATTCCCTCCACCAAAATGAGGATTTTCTTCCAGGGCCGGTGTGTTCTGGGCTGCCCGTGCACTATAGCGTCTCTGAGCAGCTTCTCCAGGCTCTGCATATCTGACACAAGAGGAACAGAGAAGAATTACTCACCCAGACTTTCACCCACAGAAAATCATACACCAAAATATTCACAACTGTAGAAAACAGTAACATATTTCAAAAAATTATAGAGGGTACACTTTGCTGACCAGAACAAAAATGCCCTAAATGTTTAATGAACGTAAGAATAGAAAACATTGTTAAATAAAAGAGTAAAAGAGTTTGATTTAGTACTTTTATACTGTTAAAGTTTCAAAACAATGTTTTGAAAGAATTTATGGAAATGAAGCTGTAAAACAACTAGTTTTGAATTCACTGTTTTTGTGATGTCACAACAACCAACAAATTTACATATACCCTCCAATTCAGCCTACAGCAGTTTAGCCGTGCCCATTTACACTGAAGTTAAGGAGTGTTACAGTTCAGACTACTTTTTTTGAATGAGGTGTAATACAGGACAGCCAATTAGAACAGAGGTCATTTACATGTATCAGTCGTTAAGGCACAGTTTAAAAAAAAATCCATATAGAAACACATATAGAAAGGTTGGAAAAAGGGTCACGTAAAAATGGATTTTGGTACATAAACATCATAGAAAAACTAAAATACAAGAAAACTGCAGGACACAGGCTTTAATGGAGCTGTTGGAAATCAGCACAGCCCCTGCTGAACCATTAAGATTCTGCCTACGTTCTTCACTTTCACCTCAGAGGAACCTTAAGCAGACTGAATTGCTACAACTCTAACAACTTCAGGGTCAATAAGCTGAAACAACACAATGAACACAAGGCTGCAGTGCTGCTACTTTAGAAGTCGTGACGGACAGAAATCCATTATGGCACAGGGAACACAGTTTATTACACATTCCCCTCGAGTTTTTCATCAATTTAAAAATCCATTTAAAATTGGCTACCATTATCTGTTTAAATTGACAGTTTAAAAGTTGCATTTAGAATAATGTGCCTAAATAATGATCGCAGGGATGACCTTTGAAGCAACAAAATTCATATTCATGGCCTGCAGCCAGACAGTCAGAGACAAAAGGCTATGAGATTCAGACGGTTGTGTAAATGTTGAAGCGCAGGGCTTTAATTTCAAACTCAGACACTAAATCAGTGAGTGCATTTACAGGTACTCAATAATCTGATCATAATTTGAATCATAATCCTAATTAAGCAGTTATCTGATTATTCAAATGATCACGTAAACAGCATACTCCTATTCCTTAGGAGGTCTAGGTCTAGAAATCCGATTAAGAAATCTGATAAAAGATTTTGCAGCACATGTAAACTTTTACTCTGATTTCTTTCAGATTTCTCGGCCTGTGCATGTGCAAAAATAGATGGAGGTACCAGAAATAAGCGAGCAGTGTTGCTGTGAGACGCAGCAAAACACTTTAAATGCTAAAACCAACTACATGCTTGATAAAATGAAGGATTTAAATATTCTTCACCTTCTAGATCAGAGGTCACTAATAGGCGGATCGCGGTCCGAGTCCGGACCCAGACGCTGTCCTTTGCGGACCTGGATCTATAACCGATAAACTATTGATAATTATTTAACTTTGACAGGGGTGCTCCTATTATAGTCGGTGTAACTTTTCTAGCCTTTACGGTACCGCTTTAACGGGCCAGGAGACTCACAGACCAATCACATGCATTGTAAATATCACACATGATGCTACTTAGCCAATCAGATCTGTGCATTACGATGAGCACTGAGACTCGAGTGAGTGATGCACACAGGGGAGTGACGAGGAGAGAAACAGCAATCGGAGGATAAAGTGAGTCAGAGGGAAGTTATTTCACACTGCATGCTCTAAAAAGAGAAAACTGACAACAAATGTTGTTGAAATATGACTGAATTGTACTTTTTTTATTGGACATTCAGTTTTTGACTGTATAAGATGTTGATATGCCTACTAGGCTACTTCAGTTTACAGTGTATGGCACTGAATCATGATGCCAGTTAGACATTATGACGTTCCGGACCTCTGCTTGAGGAAATGTTCTCGAACTGGACCTTACTGAATTTTAATTAAAGACCACTGTTCTAGATGATGTATGTTCACATTTTCAGTTAAAGTGGCACAATGCTTAAAAAACAAGCCACGATGAAGTTTGAGTTTTACATTACGTTTACATCACGTCTTCTTCTGTGAGTTTACTGGCCGTTGGCAAAGCAGGAATCCAACTACTGCCCGACTCATGTAGACCCGGAGTTTCACATTATCTGATTACCCAAGTACATGTAAACGTGTGGATCGGATTACCGACAATATCTGATTTTCTGCACTTATCGGATTATTAAGTGCATGTAAACGCACTCAGTAATCCTGCTGATTTGATCCAGAGTCCAGTCACAGGTAGGGCTTAACGATGTAGCGAGTCAGAGTGGAAGGGGCAATACTGAAACACAGTGTTCTACAGAAGGTGGACGTGTTTTTATGTAGAACCAGCGGCTTGTGTACGTTGGAGCTTGACCAAAGCAACTGCCTTTACCCTGCTGTGTCAACAGACAACAGCAGAGGTGGAAAAGCCAGCGCAGGTATGAGTTAAGCATGTGTGTGTGCCAGTGAGTGAATAATAGTGGGAAGCAGTAGCTGAAAAAGCTAAATGTTCCCTGTGGAGGAAAAAAAGGTCGTTTTTGTTGACCTTGACAATTTGCCAGCTTAATCATTGTTTAAAAAATAAATATTGAAAAGTGAAGGTACATTCAGTACAATAAGTAGAGGATAATTCTGCCACTACAGTCTATTTTCTTCTTTTAGCTAATATATAACGTCCTGGACAAGATTCAGGTTTCCAAGACCTTCCATGCAGTTCACACTGTGCTAAAGACGTTGCTATAAGCTTCTATTACTTGTTAGCTACATTAGGCCTTTAGTTCCAGCACAAAAGAAGCAAACCTGGCTAATCAAATACATTAGGAAAGGAAAATGACAGAGAAAGTATATTGAGGCTGCAAAATTTATTCATGTGAATAAACCAACAAATCATTTAATCAGCTTAAATATTTACTATAAACTCGAAGAGCTGTAACAATTAAATATCTGACACAAAATGAGGTCCTGTTCACCAAGAGCTGAATTACCACCACAGAAAAAAACACACGTGGTGCTTTGTTAAAGCTAGAACTGGGCAATATGACAATAATTTATCCTTATTGTGGCAAATTACGCCACAATATGCTTTTCCTCAGCATATTCTCTCTCTCTCTCTCTCTACACATACATATACATACATATATACATATACATATATATATGTGTGTGTGTGTGTGTGTGTGTGTGTGTGTGTGTGTGTGTTCCTATAGCATCAGTACTTAAAGCACACTTACTGTGTTAAAATTAACACTTACTTATTATAAATAAAGCATAATTAGTCCTGTTTAATTGGACTTGTATCAGTGAAACAAAAAAAAATCATTATATTCATAGTTTTTGATAGTATTTTTTTATGTGGCCTTTGTGGTCCGTTTTTGCTTACTGCAACTTATCAAACCTCAGAAAAACTATCATGATGCATATCGTGTATCAAGAATATGTCTTTATGTATCGCTATATTGTATTTTAGCCGTATCGCCCACCCCTCGTTTAAGCCCACTCATAATTTTGAGCAACAGCAAAAAGCAATAGCTAAACATAAGGGATGGTAATAAATATCTAGATTAACATTGGAGCTCTTCAGGCTGCAGCATCGTTTAACTGGTTTAGTGTAATTTTAATGTGCTACTTAACTAGACGAGTCGTGTGTGAGCAGGTGTCCAGGTGAGCGGATGGCATCTTTTTCACGAAAAAAAAAAAATATGCTTAGAAAATGAGTTGTATGTTAAGCTAATGAACCAGTTTACACAGTTAGCTAACACATCGCTGTTGTTGGAAGAAAACCTCGTATCTCCAAAATGGTAACTTTACAGGAGAAGCAAAAAACCTACTTTACTTTTAATGTAAGTCAATGGAACCAGAATCCAAAACCCCCCCCCCAAGTAATTTTGTGCCATTTCTTTTGGTCCATTCTTCATTAAATTTACACACAACGCAAAGGACAACAGGCATTTTCAAATTATGTCAAAAACTGAAAAACAACAAAAATGGAGATACAAGGTTTTCTTCTGACAACAGCGATACGTAACGCTGTGACAGGACGAGCTTCTGAATGTTTCATAGTTTTTTGAAGTAGCTTCTAAATCCATCTGTTTAACAGAAACTGATGCAGCTCAGAATATTCCACTGACTAACACTAGTGGTGTAACATGGTGAGCTTCAGCGATGTTTGTAAGGGGAACGTTAGCACATTCTGACAAATCAGAGTGAACTGTGTGACTCAGCGAAGAGTACTGTTTGTCAGAACACCGCCGTGGAGGGAGAGCTGCTGTTTACTGACCAGTCAGCTGCTTCAGAGTCCACACCAGCATGTTTTCTTTTCCAGTCATTGAAGGTAACGTTGTGTGTCCGTGGAAAGATAAGTCAGTCTTGCATTTGCATATGTTGTGTGTGACCTCTGCATCCTTCATTTTAAGAAAATGCTCCCAGACTTTATTTCTTTTTTAACTTTGCTAGCCACTCACATAGGTGTGACACTTTAAGCGAACTGCTGCCCTCTTCAGGTTAAGTTTCTGACTCATTCTAGGTTGGACTTCACTTTAAAAATGTAAATGAAAAACATGTTAATTATTATATTACATGCTCTTACAATTACTTGTATTTTCCAAACCTGCATATGTGGTAAATCTGATGTTTCACTACACTATTCCTTTAAGCTGGAGTTGCAGATGAGGTTCTTGTCATCAGTGGCTGAGATAGTTAAGCACATAATTTGCTCCAAATCTCCAAAACGGTAACTTTACAGGAGAGGGGAAAAAAACTAACTTTACTTTTAATGTAAGTCAATGGAACCAGACTTTTTCCAAGTAATTTCTGGGTCACTTCTTCTGGTCCATTTATCATGAATTTGACACACAATTTATATGGAAACAGCCATTTTCAAATTAAAAAAGAAGAACGACAAAAATGTAGAGGTTTTATTCCGACAGCAGTGAATTATTTATCTGAGAGTACAGTGGAATGAAGAATGGTAGAGTCTCTGTTTTTTCCTGCTACTGTGCATCATACAATGCTCCCAAGCCTCTGCATGGTCATATGACAGAGCAGAGTAATTTGGAGAGGGTAACACTTTATTCTGAGAGTCCACTGTAGATGACTTGCAGATGCTCACTTAGTCTTTGACTAAAATTCAGTGAAATATCTATTAATTTACTAACTGATTAATTAACCGGACTTTAAGTTAATGTAATCAATTTTATTCAAACCTAACCCTAAACTTAACTTCAACACAAAACCTAATCCTGAACCTAACTCTAACTAACGCTGTTGACGGTCAACTGAGATTCACCAGATATAAACAGATATAAACAGTGTTAGTCTATAAACAATGTTAGAATCTGTAGATAATCTACAAGACACTCAAAATAAATTGTACTCTGAGGTCGTTCAGGCAGACCTTCATCCTACCAGTTTTGAAATCTTCCAAAAAATACTTAAGTAACAAAGTAGATTTACTCAAGTATTTTCTATCCCTGCATTTGAGGTGAAGAAGAAACTGTGTACATGTGAATTTTCAGGGATGATTCACAGAATCAACATATCATAATTTAATTTGTCATATCTCAAATTCTCAGTTCAATTCCTTTTAGTGATACAGCAAAAAAAAATAAGGTGTTCCTGAAAATTTAGTATGTTAAAGTTTGCATATTCAATTATTACAGCATTCAATATTATTAAACCACAATATTTCAGACTTTAGAGTGGCACAGTGGATTTTTGCCCATTCAAACTGGTTTCTTAGTAACGCTAAACAAGAGCTGTGCTTTATTGTGTCCTGATTTCATGCACTAGTAGAGACCTAACACTGCACTGGGGCCAGCGTAAACAAACCAGGCCAAACCACAACCACAGGAAATGGTGGAAATGGCTCAAATGGTTGAAACTTGTACTCACTATTGTGCTTGAAGACCCGGATGGTGGAGCCGGAGAGTCGAGCTCCCAAAACCAAAGAGGCGTGATTCAGCTCGTCACTCAGAATCAGACAGCCCTGCATCCAGGAAACAGCAAACACAATGTCAGGTCACAGGGTCAGCACGGCTGAGGTAAGATTACACCTGATTCACCGTTGAACAGCCATGAGGTCATAATCTTATTACCAGTGTACAACATTTCAGTCACTATTTTTCACTTTTATTCAGTTTTTTTTATCAAAAGTTTTTTTTTAAAACTGTTCTGTCACCCAAACATTCCCTCGTAAAGTACATCGATTAATCTATCCATAAAGAAATCCCCAAATTTGCAAAATTATGACTGACACGCCTCTCAGCCAATTTTCTCTGAACATTTTTTCCTCTGCGAAGGAACAACTCCTCAAAACAAACCTGCAGTGAGAGTGGCAGTAAATTAGTCTGAATTATTAGACTAAAAAATGGTGGACAGGTGTTACTAAGTAACATACTATACCTGATCATCTGGAGGGTGGAGCTGTTTTTATTTACTTCCTGAAGCTGAAAAGTTTTGGATCAAACTCTGTGCTCAGTGTCAAAACTATTAACAGAGAGACTAATACTGAATCTAAAGTCAGCTAAACATTATCTGGGTTACTGTACTTACTAAATATCATGTTAATATGATGTCTAACGTAGATGAGGGCAACATGATGACATTTTATCATTAACATGACACATTTTGGTATAGCGGTAAACAATATGCTTTTCTGAGTATATCATGGATAATATCCATACATAAACAACACTGAGCACCTGCATGATTTATTACAATTTGTCGTTTTAATGGAAGTTTTTAAATGTGGCAGTACTGGTGCTTTGTGTCTGTCATGATATTGTGACATTATCAAGTATCGTGAAAAAGGTTTTACATATCGTGACATAATGTTTATGCCATTTCGCTCACCCCTAGTCTAATGATAAACAACGTTACAGTAAACGTTGAGTTCAGTTAGCTAAACAGGACTGTACAGCGCCCACATTTGTGATTAAAACATTGTGTGTAAAGATAAACATGAATGCACTCGTGCACGTGCCATTCTTTGTACTGTTTAATTAATGTCTGATAAAAGAAGTCGTGTAAAAGACGACGAGCCCTCCTCCATGTAACGTTGCTCTGAGTAGCTCCAGTGTTAGCTTTAGCACTAGCTCGCCTGAAGGAGCTGCTTCGGCTAAAGCTTTCTTAATAGACACGAAAACCTGCTGCTTTAGTGTCAACTGACTAAAAAAGATTTGCCTGGTTTGATTATCGCAAAACTGGTTTACAGAATCCATTTTTGTTCACCAACTTGCCCTACATTCACATTTTATCAGTTCCGGTCACAACTGGTCAGTCGCTAAAAGTCAGCTGTTCTGTGTACATCCTGTGTACAAAGTCAGCTGTTCTGTGTACATCCTGAAGCTGCGCTCTTGCAGACTGGTGACACTGTTGTCTGACAGGACAGAGACCTACTACTTGACCTCACTGGCTAAAAGAAAAACAATGAACTTTAAGTTCAAAAACACAGACAAAAACTAAAAATAATTTGCTTCTGTAAGTCAGCAGTGCTGTTTCAAAATTAAAATTTTAGGGTCTTTTATACTTGTAGTTTGGTACCCTTAACCTGGACCAAATCAGAAAATGATACATTAATGCATTTTAGTTCTGGTTTGCTTAGTGTTCACACTGACACACTTAACATCAAACCAAAAAATGTAAACAAAAGTCATGCAGTGTAAAGTCACAACTGATTGGGCAGACCTTACGACGTACAATCACTTTATTAATGTCCACTGAACTTTATGAATCACGCTGTTCTCAGTTCGGTCTGGACTCTGTCTTGTGATATTAGACAATAAGCCATGAGTCTGTCTGTGTTCCCGTGTTGTTGCGCAACGCAAAGCAGGGTGAAATCCCGGTAACAGCCTCGAAGTGTCCACTCAAATCAGGTATTCTCTAATGACTTCCAACATGCCTCAGCCTCGTTTTAAAACGGAAACTGTGCGTTCTATAATCACAGATTCAGAGCTTATGAAGAGATGATAAAACACATGCATGTGTCAAAACAGCATCAGAAACTCGTCTGTTCCACAAACCACGCAGAAAGGAGACGACGGTTCATTCTGTCTATGTTTATCATGCTGTTTGGACATCTTTGGTCTGTCTTGCGTTTATACTTCAAAGCAACCGTTAAGAGTTTGTTCTGAAGGAAACTAAGGCCGATCCTCTCAGGAGGTCTCGGCCCGCTTATTTGACGCGCACCAGAGTTTGGACGGCAGTGTTCGCCTTAAGGGTTGATTTTCATCAAACCAGTCCTGCCAAATCTGAAGGCACCCTTAGTTTTATTTTGAACAGAAGCGAGTTTCCCTCCCTCGTGGTTGCACAACGTTAAGCTGCACAAAAGAGGAACGGAAATGTTTGTATGTAGTGCTATTACGTTTAAACTACTGAAAGAAGGGAAGTTGTGAAACCTCTCTGATGAGGTCACGACTGTAAGCGAGCGGCCTGTCGAGATTTCAAGGCTTCATGCCAGGGGGGGAAGGGGTGTCAAACCCAGTTCCTGGCAGGCCACAGCCTACAGAGATTAGGGTTTTCCTTCCTCTAACACTCTTAAGTTGACTTATGAAGGCCCACCAGCACTACAAAATAGCATTAACTACCATTATGACTATTTAAAAAAGAATTATAAAAACTTTATAATGAAAGTGCATAGTGGTTCCTGAGTCTCCCACTGTGTAAGCACTGGCTCTACACTGTAATTTTAATCAATGGACACGTTTTATTCCTGAATTCAGCTATTTCAGACAGACGTGAGCCTAAGGTCACCATGCCCAATGCCAAGCATCTGCTAAAGGGGTATAAAGCCCCCCAGCACTGGGCTGTGGAGCAGTGGAACTGCGTTCTCTGGAGTAATGGAGCTCCATCCAGTACCTCTGGGATGAGTTAGAGTGATCCAGAACTGACCGTCCAACATCAGGACCTGACCTCACTAAAACTTTTGCAGCTGAACGCAATCAAATCCTCACAGCAATGTTCCAACATCTAGTATAAAGCCTTCCCAGAAGAGTAGAAGCTGTTACTGCAGCAAAGGGGGGACAAACTCCCTATTAATACCCTTCATTTCAGAAGAAACAATGGATGAACAGTTGTCTACAAACTTTTAGACATATACTGTAAATCCCTTTTCCTCTCTTTATCAAAGGTAGGTGATAATCTATAATGTATGGGAGTCCAGTTGTGTGATTTCCTTGCTCAAGCACACCTACTAAACCTGATCAGGAACTCATGAACACATAAAATGAAATAGTTGTGGGATCTTATGGAACATGGGACATGCGCTAACAGGTTAGAGAAGGATCCACCCATTCAAAGCTGCGGCAGTTTGTTTAATCAGTCTGAAGTACTGCAGAATGACTTGTGAGAGAGAGAGAGAGAGAGATATACAGGGAGATATACAGGGAGTGGTCTGGATTCAAAGTAATGGGAATACAGATAGCAGCCAAGGGGAAAATAGCAAGTGAGTGAGAGGTTTCAGCATCATGCAATGTGTCTTCATACAGTACCTTGCCAGTCAGCGCGGGAATGTTCATGGAATTGGTTGCAAAACCCATGCCAAAAGCCATGGCTGACTCCACGCCCAGAAACCTGGCTACCAGCTTCTCCAGTTCCTCATGCTGGTCCAGGTTACCTAAGCAAACAGACAGAGCAGTCAGCTAACACAAACCCCAAGACACTTTACTGCAGTATAAACATGCCTGCGTGTGTGTACATATTATTTTATGCTGTCCAAGAACAGCCACCACACAGAGCCTCGTCTTCATGCCTTAAAAAGACATTGCCTCTGTGGTTATCCTCACCCTAGTATTTCATATTAGGACTCTATTCAAAACACAAATATAAACGTGTCTGGAGACTTGAATCCTGCTAGAGTGCTTCTACTAGGGATGTAAAAATTAATCACAGTGCATTGATCTGAAGGTGGTGGTTACATTTTATAACTTGTTTTATAACTTATAAACTTGTTGAGTTCATTTTAGTCAATTATGATAATGTTCAATAACGTTTCCATACAGTTTTGTCTGAAATAAAGTTCTTGGGCAATGATCAAAATTAAAAATCCCAAAAAAGCTTTGAGTATTTTATTATCTATATTCCACTACTCTACCTCTGAAAAGTTCAGAATCACCGTTTTCATTAATATGTTAATATTATGATGATAGTACTCTACAACTTCATAGGTTTCAACTAATTTGTAGGAAGCCTTAAAAATAAAGAAATGCTAGATGTGTCAAAAATGGTGAAAACAGCTATAGATAAGTGAGAAAGCTATAAAACATTGTGAATGAAGTTAATACAACTACAAACCAGAATGCCTTGTATTTAACCAGTAAGTATCAAATCTTAAGGCACATAACATGTCAAGTAACTACTGTAAATACGGTCTGTGCTGGTAACAGAGTTACATTTTTAGAGTAACTTTGTGGGAAAACAACCACAGTAAATGGGTTGGCAAGTGGGGTGGGGTTCTCTTGCTTTACCTTTCATATTTTTATTCAAAAATGACATTATGAAGTGGAGCCAGAAGCAAACACAGAGATAGCATGTGAGAACAGGGTGTGAGGCCTAATCTTTGCCAAATACAAGAACACAATAAAAGCATACTTCAGTTGTGATTATAGTATACTGTCATCTTTAAATTGGCCGTGAAACTGAACCTGAAACCTGACGCTGTGTCATACAATGAACACTATATACAGCCATACAGGTGACTTTTTTAAGGCCTCCCCTGAGTGCATTCAACCAGTGCAGCTCAACAGCCACGTTTTTAAAATATCTCATCTATGTTAGGTACAACAAATGTGACATTAACAGAGATGAAACAATATTAAAATTTCATATCACGATTATCATGACCAAAATTATCACGATTATCGGTATTATCGCGATATTGTTCAAATGTTTTGAAAAGTAAAATAAATACTGATACACAAACTGAAACTCGTTTCACCAACTTTTACATTAACACAAATAGAATTGGCAGCAATATACACTTTTTGTTTGCATAAACATTAAAAAATAAGGTCAATACATTTTTAGTATTACTTTTGTATTACTTACAACACTCTGTAAACAAAAGAATAGCAAATGTATTATTATTACTGTTATTATTATTATTATTATTATTATTATTATTATTACTGTTCTTCTTCTTAATAATAATAATAATAATAATAATAATAATAATAATATTACAATAACTAGGGATTTCCCTGCATAGAGAATTAAATCTGGACCAACTCTGAGGTGCGTCTTAATGGAAAATTACTACTTCTAAGAAGTGCTGCACTCGGGGGATTTCTGTCCGAACTGCAACTGCAGCATTATTGTGCCGTTGTGGCGCTGAACCCCTAATCAATACAGCGCACCAGGAAAAACAGCCAAAATCAGAGGAACTGCGTGACCGCGCTGTGAGCTGCAGACAGTGTAGAACTCACAGTGTGTCTCCACCTGTGGAGCTGCTTCTCTAAAAGCATTTAAAACTAAAACATAACTTAAAACTAACGCGCATCTGAGCTGCGGCAGAAACACTCCTGAAGTTTAATCTCTGAAACTCTGCTTTTCCTAAAAGCAGCACAGCGTTTACTCGCGCAAGGTCCCGTCTCAAAGCACACTATCTTCCCTATGTAGTGCACTTTGTGGATCATGAAATAGCAAATCCTTCACCCAAAGAGTGCAGGAAACGTTCGAGTCAGTCATCTATAATCAACATTAACAACAGGTTACAAATTCTCTATTTAAAACTCAACTGCTGGTTAATGATGATCATGTTTGTTTGAACAGTAGCGCCCTCTGTAGGGGACACTGAGTGATTTGAGATGGTGTTACTCTCCTCTCCAACAGTAAACACTGCAAGCGAGACAAGAAAGGGGAGCTGTGTAGATTGAACCTCTGCAGCGTCTCGTTCCGGAGCTTGTGTGACTTAACTCAGAGCTCATTTTGGAGACTCTGCTCCACAGAAATGTGTTAAAAGCTTTAGTTTCGATTCACAGTTGATTCACCGATTGTTTTTCTTTTTTTTTTTGACGCTAAAAGCTTCATTTTATATTATTAACGAACCATAAGCAAAAGTTAAACCACACAAACCGTGACATTTCTTCTATTTCGAAGTCCCCACAGACTTCTCTGTTAAAGTTAACCTTGCATTCTCTAAAAAGTAGCGGGTGGTGGTCGCGAAATGACTCGTAAAGTTTGATGTGTTGCCTCCTTTCGCCGCTATTTTCTTTCGGCATGTTCTGCAGACAGGTTGGTCATCTGCAGACAGGGTGGTCATCTTCAATTAACTTTCCTTCTGCATCCTTATAAAACCCAAAATATGACCAAACGTCAGACTTGGTCTTCTTAGAAGGCTGAAATATCTCAGAATCTCAGAGTTTTCACACCGCGGTAATCGACCGCGGTTTTAACGATACTTTAAAGTTCAAACGGTACTACTAACCGTCATTAATTTTACCGCGGTTTACCGTGAAACCGGTAACCGTTTCATCTCTAGACATTAATGTACAATATCATCACTCAACATGTTTAATAGTTCAGTTATGTTTATATTTGGGAATACTAGTGCCTGCTATGATTTGCATGGTATAAAATAATTTATATAAAAACTATTTTTTAAACCATTTTTAACCCTTTTTTTAACCCGTTTTTACCATCAGTGGGGCTGTTACTGTGATAACTTGACAAACTTAACAAAAAAATTTAAATACTGAATAATAATTTCTGGTGTCTAGCTTACAGTATTTCAACCCACAATGCAGAAGTTACTACTGAATCATTTTCTAAACAATTATAATCAAATTGTGCTTCTTCTTTAAGCGAAATGTCATGTAATCTCTCTTAATTATGCATCTTTGTATCTAAATATCAGCAATGACTCCTTTTGTCTTAACTCAGGTATATCTTTAGACTCAAGCTTAACGCTGCAAAGTTTTGAGGATTTGGAGACCTCTCTGGTAGAAATACGTAATTGCACACAAGTGCGGGAGAACATTTTGTAACGTGGGTTGTGCTTCAGATCCCTTCCTCGAGCAGATGAATCCGATGACTGTGAGCTCGTTGAAAGAGCTTTCAAAGAGAACTCAGTCAAAACTCGGTGAAGTACGTGTCTTCTGAGGGTGTGAGTGAATTATCTACTGTAGTCATCATGTCATCATCGGTATAATGTTTGTATCAGAGCCTGTGCATGTGATGTTAATACGTAAAGACCCATGATGTGGTCTGAAAAACAGCTAAATCTGACCCGACACCTCTGACCTTCAAACTATTATTTCGGGTGCACGTTTTTGCCTGATTTTTTTCCTGACTCAGTAATTCTACTTCTTTCATTTTTAACAAAAAAAATCTTACATAGTGCAGCTTTAGGGACATATACATATTTTCCAAGAAGACAATAAAGTACTTCAGGAGAAAATCAACCTAAAAGTACTGTTCAAAGTTCTGAGATTTACACCCCTAATGTCCACCATGCATTGCTAGTTAGCACGTACCCATTTCCTGCCTGGTGCTGCCCACTCCAACTCCATATTTCAGACTGACTTCTGCCACTGCATCAGCACATGAGCCCTTGTTCTCAGCAAAGCCCAGGTAATTATACGAGCCCATGTTGATCACGTCTTTCACCACCCTGCCTGTGTAGCTGAGGAAGAAAATCCCAGCGTTAGGCAATCATGCATGAAAGTCACATTTTCACAACCAACCCAACCCTGCACTTCCAGATACTAAAGCAAACGCTGCCTGTGACATTTACAGCGCTCATAAAGCGAAAGGCATTTTAACCACAGATCTGAAAGTGACCCAGAGTGCAGCGTTGCTGCCTTTTGATTTACGCTGCCTCTTATTGTGGAGGTTAAAACAAGAAAACCTTTTACGGAAGCTGACAGCGTACTCCATTCAGCAGCTGCTCACACCTGCGGGCCACTTCTACTCACCTAAAGGTCCAGTTGTAGTCATAAGAAACTCGCTCCACCAGGTCCATTTTGTCCGCAGGCACGCTGCATATTGGTCTGTTCCAGTTGTCCCGAATCCTCATGTATAAATTCCGAGTGTAGAAATTCTCAAAGTCTTGATAGAGTGGGACAAAATCCTAGAAGAAAAGAAAAATTAATAATGTCTTCACTCATTTAACAGTAGTTCTATTGCTGGTGTTTGTTATTGCTGGGTCAAACACTCAAGGAAAAAAATGTATTTAAACAGAGTACAATATAAATCGGCTCTCATTTTCTCCACATAAAAGAAAAGCAACCTTTGATCCTTTTAAATATTTAACCATACAGCAAAAACAGAGCGATATCCTTCCCCTGATACATTTCCTTTTTCCTCTCCTTCCTCTGGCAATGATTTACCACCTCCAAAAAGAGTTCTAGATAAACTTTTATTCTGCACTGCACAGGCAATTTACAGTAAAGAACAAAATGACAGGTTCTGTTATTTCCTTTGCTTTGCAACATAAAAAATAAGGAGATTAAAGTGGAACTCTGCTGTTTTTCTAAATCTATGCTTAAATAAATGATTAAGAATAAAAAAAGTTATTCAGAGCAGTTTGACATGAAATGTTCTTTTCTAGAGAAACTTAGTGGTGGTGATAGGAACCAGACGTTTGGTGGCGACAGGAACCAGAAGTTTAATGCCTCTAAAACCCCCTGGCAGAACGTTATTACATGAAATGGTTACGAATGTGCTGTCTGATACCGGAGAGATTGTTTTACAATAGTTTTGTCCTGAATTCTTTATTTTGTTTTAACACATTCATGGCAGAGACATATATAAAATAGTCCCCAAAGAAAGCTTATTTCTCAGATTTATCAATAACATTACAGATAAAAATAGATTCACTAGTCATTCTGCATAGCAAATAAAATGGCTGTATTTGTGTACAGGACCCCTGGTTACTATTACCACCACTGTAAAAAAACAGACTCACAACAAACCACTCTGACAGACTTTGTTTACATCTAAATCCCCTGAATTATGCAGAAAAAGATCTGCAAAATTGGTGAAATTCTCCTTTAAGTGAAAATATATTACTTTTTACACATGGAATATAAACACTCCTTAAAAAAGATAATGTTTACCTTCTGTTCCTCCCTTTCTCTGGCAATATGGCATTTTTCAATCTTCCTCGCCCTGAGGAAGTCCCTCAGGTAGCCGAAGATGGTGAGGATGCCGTAGCCCATGTACGTGAGCACAGCCACCAACATGGGCGTCTCTTCAAACGACTCAATGAAAGGCCTGCTATATAACCCTCCATTGCACGCACTATGGTGAACCTGTAGGCCAGAAATTTAAAACATTTTTGGCTGTTTATCCAGACCACTGACGTAAACAAGACACGCAGCATTCTTTAACATGTGCATTTCAAAATGTTCGGTCAGGAATACAACAACAAAATAAAAACAGGCTGCATTTCAATTGTGCTTCAAAAGTCCATATAGAGGCAATACAGCCTAGATTAGTGTAAAACTTCACTGATTAAGCCAGGAGTGAGCCTGGAATCCATACTCTACTACATCCAAACTCTTTATGTGGTCATACTTTATTAAACCAACTTTATATGAAACAATAAAATAAGTGCAAATCCCACACAGGTCTTGCCGCTCAAATTAAGCCAGTCATGTAAAACCACATGTCTCGGAGTCACATGTGACTAGTCATGCCTCTAACAAATACCAGACTAGCAAAGAGAAGCCTGTGTGAACTGCAGTCAGCTCCAAATCATTTACAAGGCAAACAGACCCTCAGCTTGAGCGTGCTTGAGAAAAACCCAAGGTTGGAGAAGCTCATGAACTCACGCAGAGGCCACAAGCGGCCATTCATAACAGAAACATGATACATGACAACAAACACAGACCTGTGACAAGTCCTCTAAGACTGAACGGTAACAAAGTGAAAGAAACAATGGTGCACTCACAATGAAAAGTCTGGGTTACAAGTGATCACAACAGGTGAGCTGCTGTTTTATACAGACGGGAGGCACGGCTGAAGTTAGAGCCGGTCAATATGATTATATTTAACATTACCGTACACTGACCAACTGCATGCTTCATTACAAAGAGAGCTGTTTAACTGGATCAATGCAGTGCAGTGTGTGTCACTGTATTCATAGTTTTTAATAGTAAATGTGGCACCACTTGTTCTTTTCTGTCTGGTCCAAACCTCAGAAAAAACTAAATATCATGATGAGAAACTTAAAGCAGTATCATATTAGATTTTTTTGCTAAATCTTCCATCTCTTGAACAGATTTAACTCCACTGATGAACTAAATTTAGTAGGATGCCATCCAGTTTGCTTTTTCTGATTGGTTTAAAACTTTGCATAACCTGGGATGAACATCTCTGACAGTACCAATTTACAGTTTTTGCTCACTTTTTGTCATTTTTATACTTTTTTCAACATTCAGATTTGGACTTTTCAATTGTTTTGTTCAAATCAGAAGCCTAGTGTGACCAAAATGCTCATATTATTGTGATTTTTTGTCATATAGTATGATCAACTGGGAAAAAAGACGTCAGATTTGTGCTCAAGCAAGCTCAGTGTGCATATGAACTAAGGTCAAGTTTTCACACATGGACATTAATCGGACAATCACAAACTGACCAACTTTCTGGGCCTAGCAGCAGCTGATAAGAACAGTCACGGCCATACTTCAAACCTGCTTTCCTGCCAGGCTGGACAAACACGTTTGAGATCAGTGGATAACCATGGCCAAGCAAAAATGACTGCAGAGGTAAACAAACCTCCCATGTCCACATCTTTAGCTGAACTTTCTGGCCTGCAGTCCAACTTATCAGGGTGGTGTGTGGCAACCGCCAGCTTACATTACTCACATTACATTAGAGCCCAGCCCTGCTCCTGCATATCTGCTCACACCTTGAGTTCAGATTCAACCCTAATCAAACACACCTGACTCTCCTGGGTGAGGAGCAGGTGAGCAGGTGAGCACAACAGGCAGGTACTGTGCTGTACTTCTGTTATTGTAGACGTCCATGTTCACAAGCAGGGGTCACAGCCATACAATGCAAAACGGAGCTAAAGGCTGAAGTTGGCTTCCTGTTCGCCAGCTACTCGTTCGAATTTTCCCGTTCCACCTTAAATGGTGAAGCAGTTACGTTCTGGCGCCACAAGCATTTAAGGTGGAACGGTAAAATTCGAACACGAAGCCATGTAGAAGCCACGCACTGCAAAAGTAGACAAATTAATGGAGGCTTGTTTACCTTCTCGTCGCGCTGTTTATATATCTTCTTCTGCTGGTGGTGGTGGTTCTTCACGAAGCCGTTCCTTCCCTCCTTCAGCCCGTTTGCTGCACCATGACACGGACCGCCGTTCTCTTCCCGACTCGCTGAGCTCTCCGTCATGCTTGTCTCCGACACAAACGCGTGGAGTTACATACATGAAGGGTCTGATGAAGGTAGGAGGCGAGGATGTACGATACGGCGGGGGTAATCGGGCAATAACACGACCTACCCTCCCAGAAAATCCCCCCAACAACCAGGACGACGAGGAACCTGAAATTCCACCCGCTGAATACCGGAAATCAACACCAATGCCAACCAGAAGCAGCCAATAGTAGCGCTTATTTTTGCATAGAGGGCGTACGCAGGCTGTCGTTGCAGTCTGAGCCAATGGCTGTGTCTATTTTTGCATACGGGGCGTAGCTACCGTGCCGTACTCGCCCAAGCTTAAGGAAGTCTAAGCAGAGTTTGGAACTTCGTAAATTTCCTGCATTGTGCTTGGTTTTATGATTTAATGTATCTAAATACATTTTTAATATTAAAGGGATATTTATTACCAAAAAGCAGCTTAAATCGTTATGTAACAGTCAGGTTCTTAACGGTTCTCAAACGACGGTTGTCAACGGGCGTAGGCACGTCACGTTGGACGCCACGGGGCGTTGCCAAATCCGGGAAATGGAAACAACAGGCTGAATAAATAAACAGGACAGGTTAGTGTATACTAGTGTTAGTAGTAAGTGTTAGTGTTACTTTGGGAATCTTCATATAACAGGCTGTGATGACGAAAACAGAGGAAAAAACAATCATAAAGCGAAAAGATACGGACTCCTGATGAGGGCGATGAACTCTACCAGATTAGCAAATGCAGTCTCAGCCAATAGTAGCCCTTTATTTTGCATAGAGGGCGTGGTCAAAGTGGCATTTCATTCCGGGCCAGTGATAGAGCTGCTTTTAAATGTTGGGCGTGGCTTCTGTTTCAATCCAGCCTCAGTGATGGAAGCGCCGTAATGAACTCAAGTAACCCCAGCTAGAAATGTGCGGCGTTTCCTCTCCTGACCGAAAGCAGGTTGAAAAGCCACGATGAGTGATATATATATATATATATATATATATATATATATATATATATATATATATATATGTCTATATATAAATATATATATATATATAAACAATAGACAACACATTAAAGAAAAAAAAAACAAGTAAGGTGTTGGTTGAACTAATTAATCTGGTGTCATTTCACTCTCCAGCAAGGTACTTTGAAAAAAAAAAGAGCAAAAAGTAAAACTTACTTACTTAAAACATTTATTTTGTTGTTGCCAGATTAATTACTTTAAACTGCCAGAACTGCTTCAGGGTCCTTGCTATAAGTCTCTGGATCGGTCCTGGAAGGAGACACCATTATTCCAAACAATATTCCCTCAGTATTTGATAATGATGGTGAAAAACACTGTCTACCAGATCAGTCCAAAATCTCCCATAGGTGTTCAGTTGGGTTCTGCAAAGGCTATAGCAAATTATTTACATCATTTACATTATTTTCATACTCAAAAACAAAATCATTTTCATAATCAATGCATTCAATGAGTGCTGTGCCCTCTTGATGGGGGTACTGTCATCCAGGAAGAGACCACCCCTATCAGCATAGAAATGTTTCATCATAGGATAAAGGTGATCAGTCAGAACAACTTTGTATTGATTTGCAGTGACCCTTCACTCTAATGGTACAAGTAGATTCAAACCACATCAGCAAAATGCCCCCATGGCATAACAGAGCCACCAGACTGCCCCACTGTAGGGGTCAAGCATTCAGTGCTATAGAGGTCTCTTAGTGTTCACTTACTGTTCTCGCAACACATGCACTCTCTCACTTGTGTAGAATATGGTGAAGGAAGACTCATCTGACATGATCACTTTTTTCACATCTCTGTAGACTACTAGTGAAGACTAATGCCAACACTGAACTCTCAACTGTGCATTCATCTCTGTAATGAGGGCTTTAAGTACTGCAGCCCTACTATAACATCCCTCTCTATGTAAATGTGAACAGACTGTTCTTGCTGACATTCTCAGTCACCTGAGGAACAGCAGCTCTTAAACCAATGCACGGCTCTTAAACTAATGCATCATGCTCACTTTGTTCTCATTCAACCACGATTTCCAACCCTGTTTACTGGTGTCTTTCTCACTGATCTAAATGCAGATGTCACTTTAGGCCCCGTTTACATCTGACATTAACATATGACCTTGGTCACCTGATCATAAGTGGACAGCACTAAGTACAAACAGGGTACAATGTGTCTTGGAGACACTTTGTGATCTGATCACCTAAACCACCTTCGGAGGCAGTCAGGGACGCATATCACAGCAAAACCTTTGTAGTATGAACGCTAAACCGCCTAGATGCGTCTTTGACGGTGGTCAAGGACCACCTTAATCAGCTACGTCATCACGTAGATGACGTAGAATGTCAGCAGACATTCATGCTTTATTTTTTTCGTCTCCTCTCAGTGTGGACAGAGCCGTAGTCACTGTATCTATCTATCTATCTATCTATCTATCTATCTATCTATCTATCTATCTATCTGTCTATCCATCTGTCTGTCTGTCTGTCTGTCTGTCTGTATGTCTCTCTAGCTGTCTTTCTGTCTGTTCATATGTCTGTCTATCTATCTATCTATCTATCTATCTATCTATCTATGTATCTATCTGTCTGTCTGGTCTGTCTGTCTGTCTCTATCTGTCTGGCTATCTATCTATCTATCTATCTATCTATCTATCTGTCTGTCTGTCTGTCTGTCTGTATATATGTCTCTCTATCTGTCTGTCTGTCTGTCCGTATGTCTTTCTGTCTGTCTGTCTGTGTGTCTCTATCTATCTATCTATCTATCTATCTATCTATCTATCTATCTATCTGTCTGTCTGTCTGTCTCTCTATCTGTCTGTCTATCTATCTATCTGTCTATCTGTCTGTCTGTCTGTATGTCTCTCTATCTGTCTGTCTATCTATCTATCTATCTATCTATCTATCTGTCTGTCTGTCTGTCTGTCTGTCTGTCTGTTTTTCTGTCTGTATGTCTCTCTATCTGTCTTTCTATCTGTCTTTCTGTCTGTCCATATGCCTATTTATCTCTATCTATCTATCTATCTATCTATCTATCTATCTGTCTGTCTGTCTGTCTGTCTGGTCTGTCTGTCTGTCTCTATCTGTCTGGCTATCTGTCTATCTATCTATCTGTCTATCTGTCTGTCTGTCTGTCTGTCTGTATGTCTCTCTATCTGTCTGTCTGTCTGTCTGTATGTCTCTCTATCTATCTATCTATCTATCTATCTATCTATCTATCTGTCTGTCTGTATGTCTCTCTATCTGTGTCTATCTATCTATCTATCTATCTATCTATCTCTATCTATCTATCTGTCTGTCTGTCTGTCTGTCTGTCTGTATGTCTCTCTCTCTATCTATCTATCTATCTATCTATCTATCTGTCTGTCTGTCTGTCTGTATGTATGTCTCTCTCTCTATCTATCTATCTATCTATCTATCTATCTATCTATCTATCTATCTTTGTTCAAGGCCTGCACTGCACATAATATTGTCCTTCAGAAGCTGAATTCTGTTTGTTGGAGCAGGAGAACACTGACCCGTGCAGTTCATGTGGACTTCAGCACTTTCGCTAGCAAACATGGACCCTACAACATCCTATCAGACTAAGAACAGAACGTTTCCAGGTTATTAGGCCAAGTATGTTACAGTAACCTGCTTCTGTTTATCTGTAGCCTGCAGGGGGGAAATGACACACTTGGCCATGTTTTCACAGCACGGCAGGATACTGATCCTGTTTGCTTTTGTTCATTTAATTTGATAAAACATGAATATCAATATGGTCCACATTAAAATGCATAAGTTCAGAGCAGATTTGCCTGTTTGCTGTTCAAATAAAAAAAACAAACACGGAAAAAAAACATTGCTTAGAAAATGACAGAATGCAAATGGGTGATATAGTGAAACATCCTAAATGTAATATAAGGTAATGTAATAATATCAGGTATAATTTCTTAATAGGAGTCAAAATGTTTATGTGATTTGAACAAGTAATATTCTGAAACACTGCCCTTAAAGCAACTCTCACTCCTTTTTCTTTTCCTTTTCTTTTCCTTGACTGATAAAAATGAAAATGCCTCATGTTGTTCTTCTACAGTCACTGCTAATAATGGATCTGAACACTGTGAATAAAAATGTATGTCAAACTCTGGAAAGCAAGGCAGAAAGTGTAACCACTGATTTAAAATAATATCATTTCCAGAGAAATGCATCACAGTTTTTACTAGGTAGTGGCCTGCAGGCTGAAGTGAGCATGGAGAGCCTGGTGGTGGCCCTCTAACATCATCATCTGTCCAGCATCCTTATCTGAAGCAGAAACAGTCGATCTGTAAGCTGTGCTTTCCAGTCCTAACACCCCGTGTTTGCTTTTGAGAGGCTTGCTGACCCCTCAACAAAACACACAATCCACAATTAAGCCCCTGTGCATGGATGTGGCTCTAAATTACCAGGCCCAACCCCACCTCCATCCCTCGAGGCTAGTCCCTGTTTTAACATAATGGGCTCATTGTCAGTGTGAACTTGCTGGAGAAAGGCCTAGGATGAGAAAATAACACATTCTCCTGCTGCCAAGGCAAGATAAGACAGTGTTTAACTTTGCATGTATTAAACGATGGCTGTCATTATTTTTCTATTTGTGCATTAAATGGTTTCTATTCCAGGCTGCTGCCCCTGCTGAAAAGACATTAGGCCTCACGTACGACTGTGATGCACGGGACGCACATTTGAAGACTTGATCCACAGCTTACTTATCAGGATGGTTTGCTGGGGTTGTGGATTTGAGGCTTCAGCTCCACTGTACTGGATATTGGCTGTTTGAGTGAGGATGGTGAGCTTCGACTGTTATTTGATATATCTGGCTTTACAGAGTGCTGGATCAGATAAGGCCACTTTTTGCTTCAGAGAATCCTGTGATACATCTTTTACTCCTTTTTTTTCTTAAATCTGCAGTAAAATGATACATCGGCATAAAACAAGAATAACTATAAGATTATAGTTATTGTTGTTCTTAATTATTAATAATAATAGTAACAAAATCAATGAGTGCGTTTACATGCACTCAATAATCTGATCATAATCAGATTTCTGCAGTTATCCGATTATTCAAATGGTCATGTAAGCAGCGTGCTCCAATTTCTTAGATCGGAGTAAAATCCGATTAAGAAATCCGATAAAGAGAGCTGGATTTTAATTCAGTA